TTAACTGACCTTGGATTTTCATGGTTACTTAACTGGCTGAACCACATGATAAGAGTGTATTAATTGATGTGGCAATCTGAATGCTTTTCCTTTGATTTGGAATGAAATTGCTACATGGTTAATGCTCTTGGGAAGTCTGAAGAAACATGGGAGAGCTATTTGATTATTATGAGCCTATGTTGGAAAATTGATAAGCTTGTATGCCATACATAGGTAGTATTTATTATGAATGTTCTGAACTAACTACATTGTCAAAGTGCTTATATGTTCAAAGGTAGCATGCTCAAAGGTTAGTACACTGAAAATTTGTGTGTGATCTCATCAAAGTGTCTCTGCATATTTTGAACATACAAGTGTACTTGGAAATCTCTTCTTGCATAGACATGAGTTGATTAAATGATTTATTAGTATGCTATGAGTTGGTTAGCTTATTGAGAATTACTGACTTTAAATGAAAAGCAGCAATTCATAGTATGCTATGAGCTTCTGCCACTCCTGATCCATAGATCCCCTTCTTAAGGGGAACCTATCTTCCGACATCTATGTATTGTTGCAAAAACATAGTTGTCTGCTTGTTCCCAGGGGGAATCTCCTTTCTTTTATCAAGGTGTTGTTGCAAATTGATTGTGTATGTGGATGTCTGATAGACTATTAATTACACATGTTTATACCGCCATTCTTGAGCCGTGTTAGAGTTGATTCTCGTGTTTTAAGCCGATTTCACGCTAGGCTGTGCGTTTATGTCATATTTCAGGACTTGGGGTTGACGTGGAGGCGAGGAAACGAGTTTCGGGCCAAAAAGGTGGCAATTGGAGTGAAGGGCGATGGAGAACAAAATACCCGGTCGTCACTGAAAATACCCGACCGGGTAAAGATGTTTTAGACGCCAAAATCCCAGAAGGGGTCCCGGCCGGTGAGCTAAAATAGCCGATCGGGTATTTTGGACCTCGATCGCGTATTACCCTTTATTCCTCTGCGCAGCGTTTTGAAACCCCCGATTGGGCACCTGAAATACCCGACCGGGTATTATGACCAGGGATCAGGTTCTGCTTCCTTTTGAGGGAAAGAAGACCAATTTTTCAGGGGTTCCGAGTTTTAGAGAAAGAAAGCAGATACCTAGAGAGAGAGAGTGACGAACCAGAATCTCCAAGCGCCCTAGATCGATCTTCATCACCATTGGAGCTCGGCTTAAACTTGGAGTAGTGCCGATTGAGGTCGTGGTGGTGGTGGTAGGGTTGCAATGAGAGAGCTGGGTACCGCCCTCTCCGAACCCCGGACGCTGATGGACTCCGATTTCTCTACGGCGAGGAATAGTGGCTCTGCTTTATCTAGCTTTATCTCTTAAGGTGTTGTTTATGATTTTAGACGTGTTTGGTTTCCTTCCTTCTGTGATGTTGGCAGTGGCTGAAGTTGTTGGGCAAAGCACAGAGCAAGTGCTACACTTGAATGTTCCAGATGCAGAGAAACTTTGGCTTATGATAACCAAGATGAAGAAGTTGTGGCAATGATTGAGGAATCAACTACAGACGACATATTTATTTTGAATGAACAAGGTGCTTCTTCTATTCCTGAATTATGTTGTTACAATTATTAAGTCCTAGGAAATTGTGAGGTGGGGTTGCCTCGGCTTCTATTTGATGGAACGTTTGTATTATCAGGTGATGATGCCCCTAGTGGCAGTGAATCAGGCTGGAGCATGGACTGTTGTTAGAGTTAATACTATAACATTAGTTCACATATATTAGCGACTAAAAGTCCATTCTTCTACAAGGTGATCTTGAATTTTTAACTATGATGGATTAAAGTTAATGTCATGTGATGGATTTAAATGTTGTTAAAATTTTACTATGTTGAATTTAAGTTGATGTTATTTAAGTGTGTTGGAGTTTAGGTAGTGTTGGCATTTTTTTTCTATGTTGGATTCGGGGTAAGTATGATAAAATAATTCTTTTAATATTTCCGGGCTAAAACGGGTGACCCATTAACCCTTGACCCACTAGCTCGTCCGGGTCCGGGATGACCCGCGGATTGACAACCTTCAGTTTTAACAAATTTTCAGTATTTTGAATTTCTGGAGAGTAAATTTTGGTACCACTTTTGGTAATTTTAAGCCTCCGTTTATGTTTGGGCCCAGTGACATATTCTTTTTGGACAATTTCGGCCCACCAATATGTCATTTGCTTTTCTTGGCAGGTATATACGTTCTCTGTCTTTTATATTTATTTATACTTTATATAGGGAACTTGGCTTCTAATTTCAATCTTCGGTCCATAAAAAAATTACAATTTTGAGACCAATGGTTAATTGGCCCGATTGAGCAAATAGGTTGAGACTTGAGAGTTAATAAACTGGCTGTTTTAGCCCGGTTTAGCATTGATATATGAAAAAAGTCATTATATTGTTCATGTATTTATAAATTATATCAAATCTCATTTAATGTATGAGTAATAATATATAACATTACACTAAAATAATGTCGTACTTGAATCTAACATCTATTGAAATTCACACACACTTTTATAATATCAATATTCACATGTTCAACTTAGGAGACACTAAAATATTAGGAGAAAGAAGCAATTTCAATACTTGCACCATTTTGGCTCTTACATGAAAATTCAAACATAAAATGACTAATAAAGCATAAACATATTTGTTGTCTTGGTTTAATTAGTAAAAGCCAACAATATGTCAAGAATTGATAAATGTTTATAGGGCTGGCTATTTGGTCCTGGACTGTTTGGTTTTACCCGAAACTGGACCGTATAACCCGGACCGGGATCGGACTAGGACCGGATAGCAAACAATCCAATCTCATATTCGGGCTTAGATTTGAGGTAAAATACCTGGATAAAGACTGGATAAGAGACCCCCCCAACACCTAAAATCAAGGTCAAATTGGGACCGGACCGGGTCAAGACCGGACCGAATCAAGACCGGACTGTATCCAATCCAATCTTTGGTCCTTATATTTCTGAAAAGACCGGACTGGGACCGGATCAATTTGGTCCAATTTAACCGGACTGGACCGTATAGCCACCCCTAAATGTTTATACAGATTATACAGCATTATCAATTTAATATAACATTAAATTAAATCAATCATTATATGAATGGTGGAAGCTCATCCGTCCAATCGGCCGGGTGTAAGCTAGTTTTATTTATTTATTTATTTATTTATGAATACCCAAGTCTATTTTAACAATTAGTTTGCTGTGTTTTGAGCCAAAGTCACTTTATTTTATTAATGCTCCAGTCTTTTTCAACAATTAGTTTGTTATTGTTTTTATCAATTAATCGAAAGTCGTTCATGATTGAATAGTTCAAACTATAGTGTATATTATTTTTTAAATGGTAATGTATACTATTATTGGTTATTAGTTGTTGCGGAACGTAACTATCGTTCAATTATTTATGTCATCACACAATTAATAAATTATGCTTTATTGATGACCACTTCCTTATTCTTTTATGACAAGTTAAAAATGAAAGTACAGCCAGAGCCAGTAGTTAAAAATAGATCGAAACAGTAAACATGCACACACATACTAATAAAAGAAACCCAAAATTAAACAAATTAGGAAACGACCAGCGCCTGCCATACTCCCTCTGGCTAGTCCCGATACATGAAAGCAAACTTGTATGTCATATCCAAATAAACCAGGAAGAAAGGTGTATTCCCGTAAATTCTAATGTTCCTTTCAAAGGGAAGCTGGGTAGATAGACCGTCGGAGCCGGTAAACAAACATTGCTTGCCGTCATAATAAGCCAGCATCGTCAAGCCTCCATCCGGATGAATTGTCTTCAAAAACCACCAGTTGTTTTTGTCAAATAGGAGAGGTTCAACAGAATTGCAATTATGTGGCACCCTTGTCTTAGGAGGAGGCGGCCAATCTGCTGTTCTCTGTCTTTCTTCTCGAGCATATTATGAAACGCCTCATCCTTCTGTTTTCTCAGCATTAATTCTAGTGCGCTAGCCTTTTCTGCCCTTAGCGTTTCAAGTTCTGCATCTTTTTCCCTCAACTTTTGCAGGGTTTCCTCCTCCCTCTTCTCTACATTTCCCACTTCTTCGTCTTTCTCCTTTCTCATATTTTCCATTTCTTCTTCTGTTTCCTCTCTCAACTTTCGTAGTTCCTCTGCCTTCTCCTTGTTAATTGTGTTGGGTGTCAATTGTAATTAGCCTTTAATCCTTGTGTCAGTAGTATTGGTTAATTACTTAATGATCCTTGAGATAGAGTTTCGGCTAGGATAAATAGGTGAGGTTAGCCGCTAGTGTAACCTAAGGATTCTCGGATAATACAATTGACTCTGAGAGGTTGCTCCTCTCCGTGGATTAGTGTCAACGTTATACGTTGAGGATACCACGTAAATCGGTGTGCTTGTGTGATTATCCTTCTCTTGATTTTGTGTTTAACATGGTATCAGAGCCTGTTGTGGCCGGGAGATCTTGTGTTCGAATCCCGGTGATCCCATTTGTGAAACACATGTATTCGTGTTCAGGACATGTTCAAACGAAAGCCAGTCAGCCCTTATGGGCTGACTGGCTTTCGTTTAAGGGGGTGTGTTAGTGAGTGGTATAAGATCCATTATTGAACCTCTCCCAACAACTCGAGTTATTGGGAGCAACTGGTTCTTGACATTCACACGGTTGAGGCCATTCACACGGTTGTTTATTTGATTAATCGACAGCTTACTCCTATTCTTGATCACAGGAGTCCTTATGAGGTGCTGTATGGGAAACGACCAGCCTATAAAGAATTGCGGGTGTTTGGGTGTGTGTGTTACGTTTTACTTCTCAGCCGAGAGCGTCATAAGCTCTCTCCCAAGGCTGTGAAATGTGTATTTATCGGATACAGTGACAAGCATAAAGGGTATGTTTGCTATGATGCCACTCAACGGCGTGTTCGTATCTCGTGTAATGTTGCTTTTCTTGAGCATCTATCGTATTATGGACGTGATGGGGCTAATGCTCGGCCCGACCTAGATTTTTTACACAACCTGCCTTCATTCCCAGAGGCTGTTTCTCCGACTGGGCCTTCCGATCCTCCTGACACGGCCTCCCTCCATCTCGACGACCCACTCTCCTCGGCCAGCCCATCCACTTCCTTGTCTTCGTCCAGCTCATCCGCCCACCTGGAGACGTCTGCGGCTGGCCCTTTTGCTTCCTCCATGGAAGGAGGGTCCTCACATAATCTTGATCTTTTGCTTGAGGAGGAGGCCGAGAACACCACTCTTGATTCCCACTTAGAGGCGCCAGGGGAGGTTCCCCAGTTAAGGCGCTCACAGCGTGCCACCAAGGGACAAAAGCCTGCTCATTTGTCCGATTTTGTGGCTTTCTCGACGGCGCCAATACCGGTTCCTGCAACCTATAAACAGGCGCGGGGGAATCCGGACTGGGATGCAGCTATGACAACGGAGGTTCATGCACTTGAAGCAAACCACACTTGGGACATCGTGCCTCGTCCTCTTAATGCACCTGTTATTGGTTCCAAGTGGGTATATAATGTCAAGCTCCATCCCGATGGATCTCTCGAACGATTTAAAGCGTGGGTTGTTGCCCAAGGGTTTCGCCAGGAGTTTGGGATTGATTACGAGGAGACTTTTGCTCCAGTGGCGAAAATGCAGACAGTTCGCACTTTATTTGCAGTGGCTTCTATGAAAGGATGGTGTCTTAAGTAGTTGGATGTGAAGAATGCTTTCTTGCACGAGGACTTAAAAGAGACCATCTACATGGAGTGTCCTCCTGGTTACTTATCTGGTGACAAGTCAAAGGTATGCTTACTTCGTCGGTCACTTTATGGTTTAAAGCAAGCTCCCCGAGCTTGGTTTGAGAAATTTCATGACACTATTCTGCTTGCTGGTTTTCGCCAAAGTGATAATGACCCATCATTGTTTCTAAGGCGCACAGATCGTGGTTTGACAGTGTTATGAATTTATGTTGATGACATGTTGGTGAGTGGGGATGATGTTATTGGTATACAGGAGCTTACTGACAATCTCCATGCAGCGTTTAACTTAAAAGAGCTGGGGGATGCTTCTCACTTTCTGGGACTTGAAATTCATCGGTCCGCGGCTGGAATTTTAGTTAGTCAGCAGAAGTATATTGCAGATCTCTTGGAATCTGCTCATATGGATGACTGTGAGCCTTGTGCTACTCCGATGGAGCAGAACTTAAAGCTGCGGCAGTTAGATGGTGATCTCTTGCCTGATGGTTCGTCGTATCGCATTCTTGTTGGGAGTTTAATCTACCTCACTCATACTCAACCTGATATTTCGTATGCAGTTCAAATCGTTAGTCAGTTCATGGCTGCACCTCGCACTACTCATATGGTGGCAGTTACTCGTCTTTTGCGATACTTGCGTGGTTTGATGGATGTTGGTATGTACTTTCCTTCGGCTGGTGATCCTGTCATTGAGGCATATGCTGATGCTGATTATGCCGGATGTCTTGATACTCGTCGGTCTACGTCAGGGTGGTGTGTGAAGATTGGACCCTCATTTGTTTCTTGGCGTTGTAAAAAGCAGAAGGGGGTCTCCAAATCTTCAACTGAAGCTGAATATCGATCGATGTCTGAAGTCACGTCTGAACTTGTTTGGCTCCGGCGATTAGTTATGGAGCTTGGAGTGTCCTGTGTGCTTCCCATGCGGCTATATGCAGACAATACCAGTGCAATTCGGATAGCCACGAATCCAGTTCTTCATGATCGGACCAAGCACATTGAGGTGCATGTTCATTATATACGACAGTTGGTCTCCGCTGGCGAAATTGCGTTGTCTTATATCACTTCAGAAGACCAGACTGCCGATCTGTTGACTAAGGCAGTGGCAACCTCTAGTCATTGGTTTCTGGCGTACAAATTGATGTTGCGTAAGCATCATCAATTTGAGGGAGGGTGTTAATTGTGTTGGGTGTCAATTGTAATTAGCCTTTAATCCTTGTGTCAGTAGTATTGGTTAATTACTTAATGATCCTTGAGATAGGGTTTCGGCTAGGATAAATAGGTGAGGTTAGCCGCTATTGTAACCTAAGGATTCTCGGATAATACAATTGACTCTGAGAGGTTGCTCCTCTCCGTGGATTAGTCTCAACGTTATACTTGAGGATACCACGTAAATCGGTGTGCTCGTGTGATTATCCTTCTCTTGATTTTGTGTTTAACACTCCTTCCTCAATTTCTGTAATATCGAGCCTTCGTCATTCGCTCGTTTCATCGTTTGTAGCTCAGCATCTTTTTTCTTCAACAATTTTCGCACCTCCTCGTTCTTTTCCTTTCTCAACTTTCGCAACACCTCCTCCTAATTTTCACATGCATCATACATCTCGTCTTTTAGCTTTTGTATCTCCCATTCCTTTTCATCCCTCAATTTTTGTAGCTCTTCTTCCATCTCCTTCCGCAGCTTCTCTAACTCCTCATCCTGCTCTCTCACGATCCTTTTCACCTCCTCATATTTCTCTCTGCTCACCCATTTGGTCGTTGGTTTCAGCCGCATCTCCTCATCCTTTTGCTTTTTCATCTTTTGCAGCTCATTGTCTTTCTTTCCAATCGTCTCTTCCATCTTTTCTCTTAGCTTTTGTAGCTCTTCATGGTCCTTTTCCTCCCTCAATTTTCGCATCTCGTTTTCCATTTCAGTAGTTACCTTCTCCAGCTCCTCATCCTTCTTGTTCAACATTATTTTCAACTCCTCGTACTTCTCTTTACTAACTCCTCCCAACATGATAAGTTGGTTTGAGATTTTCTTTTGCTTCGGCATTGTGTATTTCAACTCCAAGCGCTGCCAGATGGTGATCCTTGCCAAGTGTACACCATGATGGGGCCAGCTGAAGAGATCATTCTGTCGGAGATAGTGAACACCAAACTCTTTTATGCGCTCCCAGCTCAGTCACGTCTTGAAAGCAACTCCATCCAGGGTTCACCATCAGACCCAATCGAGTGAGGTGCTGGGCCAACTTGGTGAAGGCTTCCTGTCCCTTGATCTTCCCATGGCCGTCGAAAAACAACAACCCGTCGTAGTACCGCTCTTCCGCCAAGTCATCATCTCTATTATCGTCACTATCGACGATGATGATGCCAACTTCCTTCCAGTGAGTCTTTCGTTCGGATATGGGAAGGGTGGATTGTAGGGTTGCTCAACTCACAAACTCTAATGGTTGTTTTGTCAGAGGAGGTAACAAAGTGTTTGTCGGATCTGAAATCGAAGAGAACCATGCTAGCAGCTGGTTAATGTTCTCTTCTCGATCGAGATGGCCAAGAGAGTAGGTAGAGTCAGGATATTTGCTAGTTATAGCAGGAGGGATAGGTAGATATATGAGGATGGTTTGTGTTTGGTTGCTATCTCTGATAGGGTTGCCGAACAGTGGCCAAGGCTTGCAACAAAACCCTTTAGCCAAACGCCGTTGCTATCCCAGAGCACTCCACCCGCACCAGCTTTCCCCGGATTCCCTGTCATCGCCCCATCCACATTCAACTTCAGCCAACCACTAGGAGGGGGGAACCACCCAATTTCAGCCTCAACTCGTTGCTGTGGGATCCCTTTTTTGCTAGCTCCCACTTTCGGTGCATTCCAGGCATCAAACCAGAGCTTAGCTTTGACCTCAATTGCGTGGGTGAGGGAAGACGGAGTGAGAGTCTGATTGATGCCCCGGAAGCATCCTTCGTTCCTGTTTTTCCAAAGAAGCCATACAGCAATGGCAAAGAACGCATTCCACGGCAATCCCATAGCAGTGGCCTCCTCCCTGATAATATTCCTTTGAATCCACTCGTCAGTCGAGGCTGAGAAGAAGCTCGATTGCTCAGCCGCGGGGACCATTCTATGCCAGAAGAATGGCGCTGTGGGGCAGTCCCTTAAGATGTGGAGGATCGTCTCCTGCTGACTCGGGCATCTGTAACACGCATCAGACTGGGAGATCCTTCTCTGAGTCCGAAGTTCATTTGAGCTAATCCTGCCCAACGCTACGAGCCAAAGGAAGCATCTCACTCGTTATGGAACTGGCGGTGGGCATGGCCATCTGATGCGCGCTTTTGACTGAGAAGCGTCCATCTGAAGTACTTTGCCAGAAAAGTCCATCGTCCTCATGAACCAAGGGATCGACCGCATGTGCCGTAATGCGCTGTAGAACATCAGCGGGAAGGAGATGTTCAAACTTATGTATCTTCCATCTGCCGTTTGCTTCCACATAGTCTGCAACCTTGGCCCCTCTCTCAGCGTTCGGAATTGGGCCAGTAGCAACCTCCTGAAGCGGTACCTGCAGCAGCCATTTATCAGACCAAAAATTAACCTTGTTTCCTTTATGCACATTCCAGGCGCAACCCTGCTGAACAAGATTAGCTGCTTTAGAGAAACTAGTCCAAGTAAAGGAACTTCCCTGAACTATTCGGAGGAGGTCCATCTGGTGCCTCTGTTTCCCGTACTTGTTGCGCATAATTTGGACCCACAGACTATCATTTTCATTTAGAAGCCTCCACCCTCCTTTTGCTAGCATGGCGATATTAGCATGCCTGGTAGACCGAATCCCAACTCCACCAGCAGTTTTAGGTTGAAGGAGTTGTTGCCACGCCACCAAATGTATCCTTTTCTTCTCATCCGAATCTCCCCAGATGAAGTCTTTGTTCACTTTGTCAATGGCCTTGCACACACTAGCTGGGAAGTACTCCACCTGCATAGGATAGACAGAAATAGCAGAAGAAACTGATTTGACCACGGTCAACCGAGCAGCAAGAGAAAGGTGCTTAGCTTTCCCGGGCGCGAGTTTCTTCTGAATTCTGACGATCAAATCCTGATATCGGGCCTTGCCAACCCGTCCGTGGATAGCATTGACACCTAGATATCTACCCAGGTCAACGGTGAGAGGAATCGAAGCTTGGGCACTTAAAGATCTTGCTCGGCGTCTGTCTATGTTTGCCGAGACAAACATTGCCGACTTCTCATAGTTCACCCTTTGTCCTGAGCTGAGACAAAATTCATCCAAGCATTGCTTGATAATCCTGATCTGAGAGACCTCTGCCTCCGCAAAGAGAACTAAGTCATCTGCAAAAAAGAGGTGAGAAAGCTCCGGACCATCTTTAGACAACTTCAGCGGTTTCCAAAGTTTGTCTTGGATTATTTTCAATAATTTAAATCAATATAATACAACACTTATTTAGACTCTTTATAAAGAAATGCTTGTCTAAAGAAATGGGGTCTTAAGCGATCATCATGATCCTCCCATGACCTGGAAAAATCGTGTTCTAAGCGATCCTCAGATCCCCCATTTTTCTGTCAAACAGACTGTGTTTCTAAGAAGATGTATACCTCTCCTAAGAGTCTTACGAGTGTACTTGTATTGCTTTAAATTATTGAAAACAATCAATACGAAGTACAAAATAATATATTTGATTTTATGTGTATGTGTACAAAAAATAATTTTACTTAAATTTCAAAAATGATTTTAGTTAGCTTAAAATTAAGGGCTAATACCACTACAACACCCGAACTATCCGGAAAATGCCACTTGTGTCCTATTGTTTTCAATATTCCATTCATGTCCTGAGCTATGGTACTTTGTGTCATTTGTATCCTGTCAATTTCGTTGACCGTTAAAGATAACGGTTGACCAAACGGTGGTCAACGTAAAGTTCACTTTTGTTGATGTGGCAAAAATTGTGGTTGCCACATAGATGCCACGTCACTGATCTCATATTTTTTAAATTCAAATTAAATAAAAAATTTGTGTTAAAATTAAAAAAAACTATAAATTCAATTATATTATTAAGCCAAAATTTTAAAACAAAATAATTAAAAATCCCATTATTCTTCTTCCCTACCGATTCGACCTCTCTTTCTCTAAAAAATCTCGAAGACGATTCCGATTTCCAGGTCGCCGCATCATCTCCTTCTTCCCCCAATCTGACCCGGCAATGAAGACGATTCTGATTTCCCAGATCCCATCAATGGCGAGATTCAGGGTCTCTCAGCTCCACCTCAATGGCAGATCTGACTATGTCGCAGTCGTGCTTCAGGGACAATCTCCGGTTTCTTCGTTAGATGGACTTTGTTCTTTGCCCGCCGACTCCAAATTTGAAGTCGATTTGCTTCCCATCATTCTCAGCAGATCGCCTGCAAGGCCACCATCGAGACCGAAGATTGATAATGAAAAGAATCAAGAGGAATCCCCTCGAATTTCTGGGGCACATAGAGGAAAAGAGAAACAGATCGATTGATGCATAGATAACAGAAGGAATCGGAGGGGCAGAATCATCAAGATTCAAAAGTGGTCAATCGACGGATCTGGACGTGCTACGCTCTGCGGCGGAGGAAGAACGACGGTGTAGAGAGCCCGTCTGTTCGCCAATCCAACGGATCTGGGTGCTGCGCTTTGCGGCGGAGGAAGAACGACGTCAATCTTGTCGGTTCTGTTTCCGCAACCGTGGCGCCGGTGGATCATTGTGAATGGGGGTGAACAGATTTTAGACAAGAAAATCCTCCATGATGGGCGCTGACTCCGGATTTTGATGTATGGAGTTGGGACTCTAGAGCGGCGGCGGTGTTGGGCGATAGATCCGTGTGTGTATTGGAGAATCCGGGGAAGAGGCTCTACAAACCCTACTGTGGCGGCGGTGGCAACGAGGAGGAGAGGAGGTATATTTTGGCCGGAATTCATTTTTGGGAGGAGGGGATGCAAGTCACGACACAGAGATGGGTGGGTGGGTGTGGGTATTTTCTTTTCATTTTATTTAGTTACCTTTTTTGAAAAAAAAAATCGTATTAAAAAAATTCCATGTCAGATGCTGACTGGATTTTCCGTTAAATATTAACAGTCAAAACCGGTCAATACTAACGGAAAAATAGTTCAGGACACAAATGGAATATTGGAAACAATAGGACACAAGTGACATTTTCCGGATAGTTTGGGTGTTGTAGTGGTATTAGCCCTAAAATTAATGTTTATTAGATAATGTATATTTCTTGGAAACAACCTTGATTTAATTAATATTGTTTGTTATAATAGATTTACATATGTATAAATCATCAACTTATAGTGAAAGGTAAATTCTTCTCTAGGATGCATATCATATAGTTCGCTATACGGGTACAACGAATGTGCTTGAATGGAATGACGTCATCTTGCCCTTTCTAAAAAGGGCAAGATTGGATCCGATTAGGCACTTTAATAGAATAAAGATCGACCGCCAACTCATCACAACATTGGTAGAGAGATGGCGAAAGGAGAAACATTGCTTCTATTTTCGTGAAGGCGAGTGCACCATCACACTTAAGGACATTGCCATCCTAACCGATTTGTCCATCGATGGTGATGTTATTTGTGTGGACTCTACGCTTAGAACCCGATTTTCCCAGGATATGGGAGGATCATAATGATCGCTTAAAACCCCATTTCCTTAGGCATGCATTACTTTATAAAGAGTCTAAATAAGTGTTGTATTGTATTGATTTAGTCCTCATTTTTCCAGTTAACAAAAGATATAGACCAATTAAATAGAATGCTTACCGATCCACCATAGACTATTAGCAAGCTTCTTTTGCTTGAAATGATGGTTCCAGTTGCTCTTGAAATGTCGTATGCACCATCTCTGTGACAAGTTCCAGGCTGGATCCAAGCCAAAGATAGCAGCCCTTATACTGGTGTGGCGATCAGAAATGATGGTTAGGTTCGTCCGCCTGGTGACATGGAGTTGAATTTGTCTCAAGAACAATCCATAGCTATCGGTATTCTCTCC